GATGCAGTTCAGTGGTTTTTAATATGTTCAGAAGAATGTGTATTTATCACCACTATCTAATTCCAGAACATTTTCATCACTGCAAAAAGAAGCTCCGTGACCATTAGCAGTTATTCCCCATTCTTCCCCATTCTTCCCTCTCCACAGCCACTAGCAACCACCAGTCAACTTCTGTCTCTATGGATTTGCCTTTTCTGGACATTTTTTATAAATGAAATCATGCAATATAGGGCCTTTTGTGTCTGACTTCTTTTCACGTAACATAATGTTTTCATAGTTCATGTTGTGTGGCATGTATCAGTGCTTTTTACAGCTGAATAATATCCCATTTTATGGTATGCTACCTTTTTGTCCACTCGTCAATTGATGAACATTTGGGTTATTTCCACATTTGGGCTGTTACAAACCATGCTGCTATGAACATTCAAGTCCAAGTTTTTGTGTGAAAAACTGTTTTCAGTTCTCTTGGGTATATATCTAAGAGTGGAATTGCTGGGTCATACAGTAAATCTATGTTTAACTTTTTGAGGAACAGCCACACTGTTTTCCACTGTAGCTGCACCATTTTTATATTCTACCAGCAGTATATGAGGGTTTCAGTTTCTTTACATCCTTATCAACAGTTGTTACTGTGTTTCTTATATCCATCCATTGGGTGTGAAGTGATACTTTATTGTGGTTCTGATTGGAGTTTCCCTAATGACGTTGGCATTGTGTACTTAATGGCCATTTTTTTATCTTCTTTAGAGAAATATCTACTCATATCCTGAGCCTATTTTAAAATTGGGTTATTTGTCTTTTTATTTTTGAGTTGTAAGTGTTCTTTATATGTTCTGGATGCTAGACACTTGTCAGATAGATGATTTATAAATATTGTCTCTCTGTGGGTTGTACTTTCACTTTCTTGATAGTGTTCTTTGGAGCACAAAAGTTCTACATTTTGATGACATCAATTTATTTTTTCTTTGGTTGCTTGTACTTTAAGTGTCATATCTAAGAAACAGTTTGCCTAATTCATGGTCATGAAGATTTACGCTTACATTTTTTTCAAAGAGTTTTATAGTTTTAACTCTTACATTTTGATCTTTGACCCATTTTGTGTTAATTTTTTGACTCAATAATTTGTTGAAAGGACTGTTTTTTCTCCCACTGAATTGTCATGACACTTTGTTGAAAATCAGTTGAACAGCATGTTTGGGTTTATTTCTGGACTAACTTTTCTCTTCCATTGATTTGTATGTCTATCCTTATGCCATCACCACACAGTTTTGTTTTTGTTTGTTTGTTTTTGTTTTGTTTTATTTTTTGGCCATGCTGCACGGCTTGTGGGATCTTAGTTCCCTGACCAGAGATTGAACCCAGGCCCTGGGCAGTGAGAGCATGGAGTCCTAACCACGGGACTGCCAGGGAATTCCCTACCACACAGTTTTGATCATTCTAGCTTTGTAGTAAGTTTTGAAACCAGGAAGTATCAGTCCTCCAAGTGTGTTCTTTTTCAATATTGTTTTGCTATTTGAGGTCCCTTGCATTTCCATATGAATTTTGGGATGAACTTGTCAATTCACGCAGCTGGGATTTTGATAGGGATTGCTTGAATCTGTAGATCAGTTTGGGAATATTGCCATTTTATGGCATCTTAACAGTAGGCTAATCTGCCTTTTCAGTCTCATCTAACCTATGGGTTCTTCCTCTTTCTTAATTTATTTTTTGTTTCATTTATATTTTACTTGCGAAGGAACTGGGCCTCTTCCCTGTGGAGTTTCCTGCACTCTAGATTTTGCTAATTGCATCCCCATGGGATTCCTTTATATCCTGTGTTTCCTATAAAATGGTAATTAGGTCTAGAGCTTGGTCAATTCACGTTGATTTTTTGGCAAGATTTACTTAATATGTTGTTTTGCATTTCCTATCATCATCATTTTTTTTTTTTTTTTTTTTTGCGGTACATGGGCCTCTCACTGTTGTGGCCTCTCCTGTTGCAGAGCACAGGCTCCAGACACACAGGCTCAGTGGCCATGGCTCACGGGCCTAGCCGCTCCGCGGCATGTGGGATCTTCCCGGACCCGGGCACGAACCTGTGTCCCCTGCATCGGTAGGCGGACTCTCAACCGCTGCGCCACCATGGAAGGCCCATCATCATTATTTTAATTAACATACTCTTCTGTTCATTGCTTACTTACCTTGGGAATCATAGCATACCTGTGCATAAAGAGCTTCTTCATTCCTTTTTAAGGCTGTGTAGTAATCCATTGTATGGTTGTACCATAGTATATTTATTTCGTTTTTTATTGATGAACATTTAGATTGTTTCCATTCTTTCTCTATTATGATGTTTCATTAAATAACCCTGTACATGGATCATTGTTCACATTTGTAATATGTCAGGTTAAATGCTTAGAAGGAGAATTATTGAGTCAGATATACATTTGTAACTTAGAAAAATATTGCCAAATTTGCCTCCTACACTGGAAGGCAAAGTCTTAACCACTGGACTGCCAGGGAAGTCCCAGTTAACTGCTTTTGGAATGAAATTTGTTTGAGTTGCAATCTCTTTTCTTTCTTGAAACTTCCTAGATAATTGGGAGATTTGGTCCTTTTGCTTAAACTCTGCTAATGCTCCTGTCGTCCAGATTCCTTGGGTTACATTTCTGTGGCTGGCTTCCATCCTCCCCTTAGGCCGGCTCTAGTCCTCCAGAGGTACTCAGAACTTGATCTTTCTTTTCTAAGATAGACCCTAAAATTCAGTTCACCCTTGAAATACTTAATAAAAGGACACATTTCACTGAGTAACTTCACATAAATTACTTTTCCAAGTAACTGATTCATACCCTTATGATATCAGGGTTTTTTGTTTTTTTTTTTTAAACAACCCAATTTTTCTCACAGAATACTGAAAGTATCCTTGTATGTGTGAAAATAGTAATACAATGAATGTTCAGGTAAATGAATGGTTTTTAATTTGATGTTATGTCCCAAATTTTCACATTTCCCCCACCCCCACTCCCACCCCCAAAATTTAGCCATTTGCAGTGAAACTCTGTTATGCATTTTCCTGCATTCTCACACATTGTGAATGTTGGCCTGCTCTGTGCCAGGCCGTCTGCTCTATGCCCAGGGGATGGGATAGAGAAGAAGGAGCCCTTGTCCTCCAGAGACTTATAGTCTGAGGAGAATATGGATAAGGAGAAGATAGCCATTAGGACTGTCAGTCTTCTACAGCCTTCCTGGCTATAATACAGGGATTACAGAGGTAAGAGGGGCTGGTCCTTCTGAATTAAATGTCCTAGGATACTCTTTGAATTGTGGCATTTGGCTTTCTTAACAGTTGTCTAAATAGGTAGTTATATGTACCTAATAGTAAATTGAAAAGGGACACAAGAGTGTGGAATAAAAAGTTAAGTTTTCCCTGGTCCTCAGCCACTCAGTTGCTCTCCCCAGAGCAGCCACTGTTGCCAGTTTTTAATGTATTTTTTCATACATTATCATGCATATTTAATGTCCCCCCCCCCAGATTATAACTTGTACTCACCCTTGCCTTTTTCATTTAACACATGGCATCTTAGAGATCATTCAATACCATTACACACAGAGATGCTTTATTCTTCTTAATGGCTGAATACTAGTCCATTACACTGGTCCTCTATTAATGAACCTTTTGGTTTCTACTGTCAACAGTGCTGCATGAACATCATTTAAGTGTGAAGGACTTAGCCGAATTATCCTACGTTCCCTCAGCAACATATATAGATGCCTATTCCTCCTTATATTGTTTATTCTTCTATGTTTAAAAGTCATTTGTTTCTTTTTCTGTGAACTATTCGTGTCCTCTGTCTACTTTTCTGTTCAGTTGTTGGTTTGTTATTGGTTTTGGAAGAACTCTTTATATCGTAAAGAAATTAGCTTTTGTGATACTTATTGTAAATATTTGCCTGTTTTCTTGTAGCCTTGTTACCTCTTGTAGCCTCTGCAATCATTGTGAGCTCTCACTTTCCTACATCTCCATGTTTTCACATTACTTATCTTTAGCAGCTTCCTTCCCTTATTAGTACTTCCTGTATAAGCAAATGAACTATGTATACTGGCTGTTGGAGATCTCTCTTTGCTTCTCAGTGATATTTTTTGCTTACTCCTGATTTCATATACTTGGAACCATGTATCCTTTTCACAATTACATGAAGTGTTAGGGGTTTGTTAAGGCAAAACCCTAGAAGGTAATATGCTTGTCAGCCTGATACAGTGTTTGAACTCCAACCCTTACTCTGAGGTGAGCTCTGGGATCATTTTAGTACATTATCTTTTGATTCAAATTTAGTTTAATGTTTTCTACTCTAAGTGGCCTTTAACCTTAGCTGGGTTTTGGACCTCCCTCATCAGCAAAGTGGGGGATATCTATATACCAGGTTGTTGTAGTGATTAAATGAGGCTGGAAACAGGGAAGAAGAAGGGGTGGAGGAGAGTTCTTAACTTTTCCTCTAACCTTCAAGTCCTGTGTTTTCTAGGTTGAGGCTTTCTGCATGGAGGTGCTGCTGTGACTCTGGGTTTCCTGGGGCAAAAAGAGCCCCAGCTACTTGGTGATATTCTGCATGGTCTTAAAATGTTCTCTGCTGTGGCTTCAGTTTTCTCAGTTGTAAACGAGGAACATTAAGATGAGGATGGCAGGGCTTCCCTGATGGCACAGTGGTTGAGAGTCCGCCTGCCCATGCAGGGGACACGGGTTCGTGCCCCGGTCTGGGAAGATCCCACGTGCCGCGGAGCGGCTGGGCCCGTGAGCCATGGCCGCTGAGCCTGCGCTTCCGGAGCCTGTGCTCCGCAACGGGAGAGGCCACGGCAGTGAGAGGCCCGCGTACCCCAAAAAAAAAAAAAAAAAATGAGGATGGCAATAGTGTCGACTACATAGGGTTGTTTTGAGGCTTCCAACATAAAGCCCTCTACACATGGAAAGCACACCATCACCTTTGGAAAAGGGTGATGAAGTAACAGTCCTGCCTCCTTTTTTGCAGAAGCCCCTTCCTGCGTGTCTCTTGGAAGCACATCTCTGAGTGGTCCCTCCATCCACTGCCCCTCCGCTGCCGTCTGTATCGGCATCCTCCCAGGTTTGGGTGCCTACTCTGGGAGCAGCGACTCTGAGTCCAGCTCAGACAGCGAAGGCACTATCAACGCCACCGGCAAGATCGTCTCCTCCATCTTCCGAACCAACACCTTCCTCGAGGCCCCCTAGTTCCTCTGTTCTTACCGCAGGGAGCTCCTCCCCAAGAATAGACTGGACAGTTTATTCTGCCTACAGGCATTACCTCCCACAGAAAAGTCCTTTGCCTGCTCCCTGTGCACACCGTGACATTTTTAACCTCATCTAAAAATGTGCCAGAATCCACTTGTGGCCCGACTTGTGTTTGTTTTCTCTTTCTACTCCAGTATGGATGCCCAAACCTGTCCCACAGCCTCTGTCCTCACTGTTGTAGTAGGGCAGAGGTCAGGGCCCAGCAGAAATTCCACTAAGAATGCCCTGGGAAAATAGGTACCAAGCGGCTTGCAAAGGGTTTGGGTTCTGTTGCTTTCTTGTTTTTTGTTTCTTTTTTTTTCCTTTCCCAACGCCACAAAGAAGCAAGGACAGTTACTGAACAGGTATCATTTAAAACATTCTATTCTAGACGAAGGCGCCGTTTGACTATACTGTGTTGTGGAGTGTGCAGGGCGGAGAGAAGGTCCCAGGTGATGGAATGGCGCACTGCCCTGGAACTAACCTATTCTTGATGTTGTGTGACTAAGTAAAGGTTCTAAACTACATCCGCAGGGGGTGTCACTTAACACTCATGGTTCATTGTGAAGTTTTCCCTTACCCTTGGCTATTCCATCTCCCTCCACCTAATCCCATTTAAGACTCTAAACCTTAGAGAAACAAACATAGGCCTTATTTTGTTGTAGCCAGAGATCAGAAGTGCTGGTAGGTATGTGGATGAGGTGACTTATTTCTGGCAGCTCCTGGAATTCTAATATGGCAAGCCAGGGGGACCCACCTGCATATTCTGGCTCTAACCTGTTGAGGCCCCTCTCTGTTGGCTACATTTCTAGTTGTGGCCTCTAACTATGGAAGCAGTTTCTAGGCTAAAGGTGCTACGCTTGTCCTTTCCTCTGCTTTGACCTGCTGCCCTTCCTGCTCTTCCCTTCCCATACAGAGCAGCCAAGACCCAGACATGCTGCTCCACCTCCATCCCCTAAAGGGAGGCAGGGAAGGGCAGGGGGAGACAAGGTATGGAGGCCCTGAGGACAGAGGTAGGCCATGAGCTTTTAACAACAACAACATAAAGCTGTAGGCTCCCCTGCTTCAGAAGAGTGAGCCTGTACGGTTCTTTCTTCCGCTGGGTTCCTACGTCAATTGTTTCTACTTCCTTGGGTGTGAGACGGAGAGACACACACACACAGAATGTGTTGACACTGTGATGCTGGCAGGCAGAGAAGCTACTCAGTTTTAACGTGGGCACAGAGGCCCCTGGATCTCCTCCAAACCCACTCCTTTTCCCTCCCACAGCAGTGACACTCTGGTGCCCGCTGGCAGATGGTGACTTCCCTTCACCCATAACCGATGGCTTGTGAATTCTTTTTCCTTTTCAGAGCTACTCTGTGCTAATTGTTCCTGACTGTCAGTACAGGCACATCAGCTCCATCCTTACAAACAAGACGTTGAGGTAACACTGTGTAGGCACCTTCTGCTCCTCTGCTTTGTTGTTCTGCAATTGTGCTGTTGCTATTACAGCCCGTACCCAGAGCAACGTCAGATCATTTCAGGAGGCAGGCCGAGGAACCAAAGTCACCATCTTTATGTGGTTTGACTTTTGGGTTTCTTTTGGCCGCACCATACAGCATGCGGGATCTTAGTTCCCCGACCCCAGGGATCGAACTCATGCCCCCTGCAGTGGGAGCACAGAGTCTTAACAACTGGGCCACCAGGGAAGTCGCTGGTTTGACTTTTAAGAGGCCATTACTATACCTCATTGCCTCTGTCGATGTTGGGAGAAGTTGACAAAGGGTTGCAGGGATTAAAAACCTATATTAATTTGAAAGCTAATAAACCTGTCAGAGAATAAGATCTTGCTTTTCTTGTACTGGATCTTGTGCTCCCACCTTCGTCCCCATCTACTGTAACAGCTAGATTGTGTCAAGGAGGTTGAGACTCATCAGACTGAGATTTCTGCTCTCAGTATCTCAGAAAAAGTTGAGAATCACCAGCGATCATTTCATCTTTCGCCGTACCTGTTAGCAGAGAGCCCTAGAGCTGAGGCACAGGTTCTGTAGAAACCATGAACAGCAAAGCAGGTCTCCCAGTGGAGGAAGTCTGGTCTCCCAGTAGAAGAAGTCACCTTGGAAAACATCTAGTGTAGACTGTGTGTTTCAAACCCAAAGAAGAATAGGAAAACCTGGGATGGAAGGAAACACTGCTTTAAATCACAAGATGCAGCTTTCCTGCCTTAATAGATAATTGGGATTTTATAACTAGGTAATAAGGGATAAAAACAAGGTTTGGGGTGGTTTCTTAAAACCTGCTTGCGTTGTCCTGAGTGGTAGTCTTCTTACAACTTTGAACCATGTGAGGGAGAAAGCTTGTCTCTGAGGAATCCTATTGCCAGCTCTATCTGGATTATCTAGCTTGTGTCATACCACGGCCTCTCTCTTAAGCACTTCCTGCTAGCATCTACCTTTGGCCCTGTCACCCACCTGGGTGGGGAGGAAGGGAGCATGAAATCCACAGCATCTGTTTTTCCATCTATAAAAAGCAGGGAGGGCAATGTGACTGGACCCACAGAGCTGGCTGGTGACCTGTTTATTTCTGCCTTCCCTGGGCCCAGACCCAGGAGGAGAGAAAGCTGGCTTCTCAAACACAGAGTTGGGAAGGCATTCTAGACTTTTTCAGGAGCATTCTAGACTGAAAGTCCATAACTAGGAGTGGTTTAGGCTAGTCTCTTGGGTCCTCATTTCTTTCTGTCTCGTGGGTTCTTCCCTTCTGGCTACTTCTCAGGAATCTCAACTTGGTTCCCCCTTCTGTGGCTACACCACAGTGGCTATGAGCTTGGAGCCAGACATTTACTAGCTGGATCACTTGGGCAAAGTCCTTAACTTCTCCAGGCCTGTTTCCTCCTCAGTAGATAGGAATCAGGACACCAACTTCCTAGTGAGGGTGAAAGAGGATCTATAAGAGCTACTTGATGTGGTATCTGGTGCTCAGAAAATGGTAGCCATCCTCATTAGTACTGTTACCCTCGGCCTCCCCCATTTCTGGGTAGATCGTCTAGAGCTTCTGTGGTGTTTATGGCAGGTTTATCCATCCTACTGGCATTTCTCAGTTGCAGGTAGAACACTGACATGATGACGGGTCGGATCTGGTCATCAGAGCTCCAACCACCAGCTTCTGCTGTGTGCTTCCCTCTTAGCTAAATGTTAATTGCTCAGGCACACCCAGTTCCTTGGCTCGGGTGTCCTAACCGTGGGTATGTAGCTCAGCTGTCGTCTTAAGCCCCTCCAGAAAAACAAAAAGGAGAGAGAGCTCAGCGGCAGTGCACCATCACTTGGACTTGGATCTTTCTCGATTTCTTGGCGTGCCCAGCCCACTTACACGTAACAGTATGGAATGCAAGTTCTGCTTGGTGGGAGGCTAGATCTTGGCAACACTTTCATAGTGTTGAACACAAGAAGCCAGTCGCCCATTTATGCCTTAGTGATGCTGGCAAGGGCTGGTATTTTGCTCCCTTACCTGCTGGAGCAATGGTTTAGGGAAAGAGGGAGCGTCATAGCACTAATAGGCAGAAGGTGGCCCAGCATCAGAGTTTCACAGAGCCATGGGCAGCACAACGCAGAGACAACCTCCACTGTGAGCTTTAGCCATCGGCTGGGCATCTACCTCACTGTTTTAGACATGGTCATGCACATCATTATCCCTTATGTCGGTTTGTTTATTGGTGAGCATTTACTGAGGGCCCACTATGGACGAGCCAGGCACTGTTTGAGATGTTTGCAGACTGTAGTGTCTTTCATCCTGAAAAAAAAGTCCTGTGAAACAGCCCTTCTCTACATTTTATAGAGGAAACCGAAATTCACAGTGATTCACTGACTTGCCCAACGTCACACAGGTAAGTATCAGAACCAGAATTTTAATTTGAGCCTTTATTTCTAAGTTGGGTTTTCTGTGGTTTCAATGAAACTTTAAAACAAATGCCAGTGCCCACGCCTCAGTGGAGGTGTTTCAAGGGTAAAGGAGCCTTTTAGTCAGATTTCCAAGTTCACTTTTCATCCTACTGTCCATGTGCAAGAACCAAATAGCAGCACCAAGGCTTGGTTTGTTTTTATTGAAATACAGTTGACATATAACGTTAGTTTCAGGTGTACAATGTAATTATTAAATAATTGTATATATTGTGAAATGATCCATCACCACACATAGTTACCAAAACATATTTTTCTTATGATGAAAATTTTTGAGATCTACTCTCTCAGCAACTTTCAAATGTACAATCTGCTATTATTAACTATAGTCACCATGCTGCACATTACATCCCCAGGACTTAACTTATCTTGGTTTGTTTTTTAAGTGGTGATTTGCCTGGTCAGGAGTTCAGGACATTCCTTTCCCTGGTGAACTCAAACCAGGTGGGAGTAGAAGGCTTGTTTGACTGATCCACCCAACCTCAGGCAGAGAAGGGGGAAGAAAGATGGCTGGGTCTGCTCCCTCGTGCAGCTGTGAAGTGGGGGCTGCCGGCACCACACTGAGGTACGTGGTCCATAGGAGTTGGAGCATTTATGATGGGCCCTGATGCAAGGCAGGGAGTCTACCTTAACCCGGCCCAGTAGATGTCAGTCTCCATAGCTTCACCAATCTGGTAAATTATTCCCATGGGGGGGGTGTAAGGGAGAGGTCTGCATCAGGTGTCGCCCCAATACACCCATCCCCTGAGGGGCTAAGGAGGGGATGTGGGGCTGGGAGGAGAAGGCTGTTCCACTATAGAGGCCTCTGGTCGATTAGAACTTGACAGATTCTCCCAGGCTGAGTTGGATACAAACTTCCCTGGATCTGACATCCAGCTAGACACTTCAGCTACGAAACGGGAGGGTAAAGGAAGCAGTCATGTGGCGTTATTTCAACCATCATGCAGTCTTGCAGCTATCCTGAGCAAGGGCTGGGTGTGAACCAGAGGAGGCAGATGCGCTGGTCCTGGGTTTCTACCCATAGCGCCGAGCTGGCCTCTGGGCTTCTGTGGTGTGATTTCCCAAAGGTCCCTGAGGAAATCACGGCTCCCTGCAGTCCTGCAGCCCTCTCAGGAGAAGTGAAGGTGTCCCTCGAGGATATTTCAGCTGGCTTTTGGTGGCCATGGAATCAGAAGAGGATTGGAAGCCTAGGATACAGATGTCCCTCGCTTGCTCCCACCAGATAAACACCGACTCCTGAGCTTACCAGGCACCTGGAGCTAGGAACTTGCCTGGCACACCAGCCAGGTATAGCAGACCACTGGTAAGAATTGCTGACCTGGGAGAGTAGGTCGAGATGTCTGACTGCCCAGTTTCATTGGAGGGGAAGGACAAATTCAGCGGCAGGTTGAGCAGAAGACTCCCTCATAGTCACGGGAAGACATTCAGTGCAGTGGAACAAGTGTGGGCTCTGTGGAGTCGGCCAGACCTGGAGCTGAGTTCTGGCTCTGCCTCTAATAGATTCGATTAGCCTCTCTGCTTGTTTCCTCATCTCTGAAATGGTCACAGGCAGGGGCTGGTGGAAGGGTTCAAGATTATGCCTGTAATGTGCTTATTAATATGAATGTGAGTTGTTGGTTGCACATGAGCCTGTGGCAAAGGGTTTGACTGGAGCTCTAAGGAGGAAGTAGACAAAAGAGAAAGATGTGTTCTTTGGAGGAGAGAAGGGAACAGGCCAGACGGCGGGGGTTTCAGAGATGCGTCACCTAGCTGGTTTCGTGAGGTTGGGCCCAAGCCCAGGGTGGGGTGTGTGATAGAAAGCAACGGCTGCTGCAGCAGGGACAGAAGCAGCCCTGTTTAGCATCCTAAAGCCAAAGAGGCTTTCACGTGCTGCAGACCACAGGGTGTACTCCAGTGCCTGGGAGACCTGCAGGAGGAGCACATGGGTGGCAGCGACTGCCACTGCTGTGGTGGAGTGGGGTACATAAGACAGCGTGGACCACGAGGAAGAAGGGTGGGGCACCGTGTGCTGTTGGCTGGGCCAGCATGGGCTCTGCTGGGGCCTAGAAGGCTGGGGAGGGACCGTGCATTTCATTGCCCCACAGATACTTATTGAGCATGTGTGATGTGCCAAATTCTGTGCCAGCTTAACAGCTGCATTACTGTTTGTGTGGAATGCATGTCCCCAAGTAGAAGTGATTATACCAATTTCACAGGCTTGCTGGGGGGAAGGGGTTTTCATGTTTCCTTTCCCAGATCAGTGAGCCCATCAGGTCCCAGCTGAGGAAGGAGCTGACACAGGGACATCTGAAACTCCTTTATTACCCTGAGTATAACAAGTAGAACACGATCACAGTATTAAAAAACAGAGCAGGAATTAGGTGCAGGCTACCACACAGCATGCACCGGGGACAGGTTCCTTTGAGTCTGCAGCTAGTTACTTGGAAAAAGCCAGTTATGATTGTAAAAATTTTATTCTCTTTAATAACAATTCCACTAAAATTATACAAAGTACATTCAATACTTAAGAGTGGCAAGGGTGGGGAGAGGAGGAGAGGAATCCGGTGTGGCCTGGAAGTATCATCAATCGACTCCAATAAAGGAAGCCCAGCTGGGCTGCAGGAAGTTGGGGGTGTGGAGGTCCAGTTGTAGAAAATTAAAATGTGGATCAGTTTAAAAGAAAAAAAAAAAGGCCACCCACAAGGAAGCAGGGTGAGCGTGCATGTTCCTGGGGAGGGCGGGAGGCCCAGCCGGCATGCTGCTGCTGGGTGAGGGCTGGCACTCAGGCGGGCTCCGAGTTGGTGGGGGGCAGGTTTTTATGCTTGAAATACTGAACAACTTGTTGGGGCAGCTCTGCCAGCACAGCTTTCGCCAAGGTCTCTTTTGCCGCCTGCAGGGTAGGGTGGAGAGAGGAGAGAGAAAGGATCACTGGATGAAGTGGTGAGGGGCACCATGCCCAGGGAGCTGGTACAGAAGGTGTCCCTGCAGGACAAAACCAGAGCAGAGGACCAGAGCTGTCTAAAACTAGCATTCCTCAGCCCAGCCCAGGCCTGAAATCCCACCCTTAGCAGTGCTTTCCTTCACATTAAGTGTAACTCTTACCTGAGCACTCGAGGTGCCTAGGAGTAACGTTTCAGGATGAATCTGTCTATGGGAGGCTTTTGGGGCAAAGAGATGGTGGAGGTGAGCTGCACGGCCTACTCATCTGGCAAACATTTCCTGAGCACCTTCTTGGCTGGTATTAAGGGGTTGTGACTGTCTGATTTCACTGCTCGGCACCCAGTCACAGGCTGGGCACACCAGGAGCTCGTTCAGTATCCATGCAGTGCCTGGGTGGCCAACACCCAGCATTTGTCCTCAGGAAGCTCACGCTCCAGAGGAAGGAACTGGAACTAGCTCAGGCAAACCCAGAGGGTACTGGGCAGAGATGTGAGCACCAGTGGTTACAAATCAGAGTGGCCAGTTCTTGCTGGGACTGGCTCCCAGGACCTGAGCCACAGCACCCTGAGGCTTACAGCTGAGGCCAGGAGGAAAGGTCACGGACTTGCCCAAGGCTATACAGTGTGCCTCTGGTCAAATGAAAGCTAGGCCCCAGGCTGGCATCTGACAGACTGCTCCCTCTGGGGCTGCCTGCGGGCCCAGCTGCAAGGACAGCAACCAGGAAGCTAATGCCAGCCTCCTTGTAAGCAGACCTGGGTCACCTGCAGATAGGACCAGAGCCACCTCCAGGAGCAAGGGAGGCCACCAGTTCCTCCTAGAGCGGCCCTCAGGGAGAGGAGGCCATCCTAAGATGGGCCCTGTTTTCCACCTGAAGCGAGGTGGTTGGCGAGGTTTGATTTCCTGGAAAGCCCCTCACGCCTCTGGGCCTTACTCTCATCTCTTTCTCCTGGAATGCTTTCCCCCGCATGGATGACGCCGACTTCTGATTCAGGTTTAGAGGGCAGGTCCTCCGGGAACCCCTGTCCTGGAGCCCCAGTCTGGACTGGGCACTACTACCCTGAGTTCTGTCAGCTTGCTGAAGCAAGTGCTCATGCAACTGTCATATGGCCTCACCTGGGGGCAGGGCCTTGCATGGTGCCGGGCGGGTAGTAGGCTCTCAGGAGGTACGTAGTCAACAGAGCTGAGGGTAGAGGAGCCTAGGATTGGGCAGACAATCCCAGCGCCTTCATTCTGGATTATTAACTATGGTTGCTGGGGTCCTGTAACCGCCTCCTCCCCAGCCCTGGCCCACACTCACGTTGCGGAATTCTCGAAAGGGCACGAACTGCACGATATCACGAGCTGCCTCCTCCCCTGTGTGGGAGCGCAGCGTGCGGTTGTCCCCGTCCAGGAACTCCATGGCAGCGAAGTCGGCGTTACCCACGCCCACGATGATGATGGACATGGGCAGCTTGGAGGCCTGCACCACGGCGTGCCGCGTCTCCTCCATGTCGCTGATGACACCGTCCGTGATGATAAGGAGGATGAAGTATTGCTGCGGAGGGGGTCAACAGGCGCTCAGCACAGCCCTCGGCCCCTGGCCACCCTTCCCCTCCGTCCTTTCCCAATCCCCCCAAACCCTCTGACCCCTGGGAGGAAGGTGGCTTGTCTCCCCGAGCTGTTGCTGAACCCCAGCCACCTCCCTAGGCAGCCACCTCTCAGTGCTTGGGCCCTGTAGGCCTCTCCTCTGTCACAGCTGGAAGCACAAACTGCTCTCTTCCTCCTGCCCTGTGTAATGTCAGACTCCCCAGCTTGGGGGTTTGAGAGCCCCAGACTCTGGGCCTGGCTCTGACAGTGGCTACACCGTGGGACTCTGGGCAACTGACTCAACTCGCCGTGCCTCAGTTTCTTCGTCTGCAAAGTGGGAATTCCTGCACCTCTCAAAGAGACCATGCTGGCTTGGTAATCGACAGCTGCATCTGTGGCAGAGTGAGGCCCACAGCTGTTGAGGAATATGCATTCTGGCTTGTGGACTCTGGGAGCAGCCTCCCCTTCTCTGCTCCACCTTCACGTGAACACCTGTGATGCTGCTCGTTCCCCATTAGCACAGCCGGTCTCAGAGACCCCTTGCAGGAGCTAAGCAGATCATCTCGGTCAGTGCTTCTGGGATTGTGGGACTCTGCTGGCAACAAGCAGGCCTGGAGGCACACCCCAGACACAACATCAGTCACAGTGGAAAGGGTATTGGTTTTTTGTTGTTTTTTTTTTTTAAGAAGATGTTGGGGCTAGGAGTTTATTTACTTATTTATTTTTGCTGTGTTGGGTCTTTGTTTCTGTGCGAGAGCTTTCTCTAGTTGCAGCGAGCAGGGGCCACTCTTCATCGCGGTGCGCAGGCCTCTCACTGTCGCGGCCTCTCTTGTTGCAGAGCAGAGGCTCCAGATGCGCAAGCTCAGTAATTGTGGCTCACGGGCCCAGCTGCTCCGTGGCATGTGGGGTCTTCCCAGACCAGGGCTCGAACCCATGTCCCCTGCATTAGCAGGCAGATTCTCAACCACTACGCCACCAGGGAAGCCCAGGGTATTGGTTTTGCAGTGGTCTTTGAATTCTACAAACTGCACCCAGGAGGAAGTCTCAGTTTGGTGCTCGTGTGTCCCTCTTGCTAACCTTCCTTATTAAAAACAGAGAGAAAAGGCAGGAAGCTCAGAGCTCCAGGGACAGCAGTCTCTAGGTAGACTCTGATACCACTCTGCAGCCTGGTGTATTTATTTTTATTGTTACTCTCTATTGTAAGTGGTAACTTTTCCCTTACAGTGGGTTATAGTTTCTTTATAAAATTGTTTACATGAAAAAAATATGAATAATTAGTGTAGGTGACAGGTGGCCATAGCATAGACTGTGGAGGTGGGGAGTGAGTGAATGACGTTCAGGAAATCTCACTGGATGATCTGTGGGCAGAAGCCCCAGCATTCCTAGCTGCCTAAGACCTCATTTTCAACTTGGCTCTGTGCTTAGCACCCTCTGGCCCCTGTTGGGGAACTCAGTTTTCCCCATACATAAGATGAATAGAAAAGCCCTTGTGGCCCTAATGTTCTCTGTTTGGGGCTTCTGCCTTCTCTTCTGACTCTTCTGATTCTCAGGAGAGGAAACGGGGACCCAGACTAGTCAAGGTCATGGAGCTAAAAAGGGCAGAACCAAGCTAGCCCCCAAGTCATCATTTGGCCACCTTCTCACCCAGCAAAGCCGTTTGCTCCCTGGGAAACATACAGAGACCACAAGTTCAGCCAGCTAGGATGCCTAGCTCTCCTGCCTGTCCCCCAAGCACAACCTGAAAGGAATGAACCGTGTGGAGGTACGAATGCCACCATCCTAACCCCCAATCCTCGACAGCAGTAGTCCAACAACTCCTGAGCAGTACCTTTAAGAGGCCAAAAGCTTGGCTGGGGATGGATACCTGTTGCTATGGAGATGGCAGCCCGAATTCCTGTAGTGGAGGGCTGCTGCTGCCAGTCCCCATTCCTGGGGTTGAGGGGCACCTCATAAGCTCATCCAGACCCTTGTCCCCTCATAGCCCACCATCATTCTAGCCAGCACCCCTTCCCTAAGTGGCCCTCTAACCCTACTTCCATCCCACCAAAAATAGTCCATGGCAGTATTTCTGGGGCACCTAGGCTGGCAGGAGGGAAGAAGGCATTGAGAGGCCTAGCGATGAGGACAGAAAAGAATACTTGGCCTTGGGTGACAGGCCTCACCACTCGGGGTGGGACTGGTCTCCAAGCCCCCTTCAGCTCAGATGGCTGTCTCCCACCCTCCTCCCCACATGGCCCTCTTGGCTCTCCCTTTCCACCAGCCACGTGTCTACATTAGGAGACTTGCAGCACACAGGCTGAGGCCTCCCTCACAGCCTTGGAGCCTTCTTCCCCATGGCCTGGGTTCCTGCAGAACAGTAGGCACCAACTGAAAAGGTGAGTCACGGTGGTGGTGACCACACATGCTCCGTGTCATCCTCACGCTGGGATTCTCCTTTTGGAGGTTGGGGAGACAGGCTCAGGCTGAGAGAGGTTCAGTGACTTGCTCAAGGACTCACAGCCAGGAATGGCACAGCTGAGATTCAAGCCCAAGCCTTAACTCCAAAGTTAGGGCTCTTTCCACAATGGCAGCAGTGGCCAGTAGCTGTCTCTCCAATAGTGGGGCCTGGCAGGGAGAAGCGAAGTGCCACTGACAAGTCCTAGGCTTCATGCCCATCCCAGGCAAAAATGAGGTTGTCCAGTAGCCTCTAAGGTCTACTGCAACCCTAGGGGTCCACGATCCCATCCCCAAGACAGAGGGGAGGTGGCGGCGGGTGAGGGGGGGGCTGTGGAAGGGGAGAAAGAAGGGTGGAATCAGGCAGGAGGAGGTGGGAAGAGCCTCTGCTGTCCCCATGCATAGTCCTGGTCTACCCTACCCCAAGCTTTCCCACCTCCATGCCTTTCCTGGTTTACTTCCTTCTGCCTGGCGTACCCTCCCCAGCCACAGCTCCAAGACCTCTCTGAGTGTCTACTCCTCCATCCCGAGTGGATGTGAGGGCTCCCCCAAGCCCTGAGCTCTGCTTTCGCTGCCAGCGATTACCCCTTGGGGCAGGCTTCTCTGGATACTCCTCTCCCCCCACGCCCTTAGAGCTCCTCAGGGCAGCCCCTCCTCTCACACCTCTGCATTTCATGGGCCTGGCACCCTGTGCGGGCTCCATAAACACAGCCAACTGCTGACAGGTCGAACCCAAACCCCAACTTTCCAACACATTTCAAGGACAGAGTATCTCTAGCATTTACCCAAGAGGTTCTTCAGGCTTCTAGGGCTGTAAATAGCCACTTCCCCAATGCATTTAACATGTGATTTGATTTATAAGAAACTGACTTGACCACAACAGTTCCAGGCAGAGTCCGGGGAAGCTACACTCATCCCTAGCTTATTTCTGAGAAGTTGGCTGCTGAGGGCCTTGGGGAGTGGAGGGAAATTTCCAGGGTGCTGGCTGCTTCCCAGTTCCCCCTCCACTATGGCACCAGTTGCCTAGGTAGCCAACCATCAATGGGCCATGGATGGGAAGGCCCAAGTCACATGGGTCAGAGCAGAGGGAAGGATGAGGCCCCACAGTAGGAGTCCCCTGGTACCACCCAAACCTCTTAATACCTTTCAGTGACTCCCCACTGCCCTTAAGAGAAAATCCAGATTCCTTACTGGCTTCAAAGGCATTTGTGGGAGCTGGCCTACCTTCTCAACCTCATCCACCCCCACCCACCCCTCTTACATCACACTCCTTAGTTATGCCACACACCATGCCTCCAAGCCTTTGCCTATGCCGTTCCCTCTGCCCGGGACACTCCACACATGCACACACACACACATACACACCCTTTATGAGACTAACTCTTAAGCATCCTCCAAGTCTCAGCTTGGACATCACTTTTCCAGGAAGCCTGCCCTGAGCCCTCTGTCTGGGTTAGATGCCACCTTCATAATCCTATAATTCCGTCATCACAGTTTTAATTGGCTGGCATCACAGCTGCTGTTCCTGGCCTGGCTCCCCACAAGACCACAGGCCCTGGAAGGGCAGAGGCTATGGCTTGCACATCATGGACTCCCCAGTGCCGCAGAGAAACATACGCGGTAGAGATGAGCTGCGTGAATGAATGGGAGAACACAGGCCTGCCTAGAGAGATGCTTCCACCATCTGCTCTTGATTTCCTGTGCGTGGGTGTGCATGCATGTTCGTGTGTGGGGGACAGGGAGGATGAAGCCACACAAGCAGCTGTATGAAAGCATCAGGTAATGCACAAATTATTTCCTTTTGCCTTAGGCCTACATGGGCTCAGCAGCACCAAATGCCGGCCCAAGAGGTGTCCTAAGAAGATTCATCCGCTCACGTTTATTAGGTGCTACTGTGTGCCAGGCGCTGTGCTGAGCTATTTGGATGCCGAGCTGGTTGAATCCTTGCAATGCCTTTATTAGGCAGGTACTGTTCCATCATCCTCATTGTACAGGTGAGAAAACTGAAGTTCAGAGAGCTTAATAAGCAACCTGCTCTGGGTCACACAGTCAGGAAGTGCGGGAGCTGGGGTCTGAACCAGGTCGATGGGCCTCCAAACCTTGAGGCATCCCCACCTTCAGTGCACGGTGAGATGGACGGAGTAAAGGCAGGAGGTAGAGAATTATCTGTATCTTCTTGGACATCAGAGTAGGAGAGGCCAGTAGAGACCCCTGGCTCGCCTCCTGCAGCCCAGAGATGCTGGCCCAAAGTCACAGAGCTGGGGTGGGTAACAGCGCTTCCCCAGTGTGAGGGAGCCAGGGAAGGGCTGCCTCCTCAGGTTGGGAGGACCTGGTCACGACGAAAGCAGCTGGGGTACTGTGAGGATTAGGACTTGTTCACAGAAAGGGCCCAGTTCTTCCCTCTGGAGGGCCCTCAGCAGCTGGTCCCCAGGGCCCAAGCCCCTCCCCTAGGATCCAGCAGACACAGGCTCCTTCTCCCCAGGACCTCATCTCCTGCCCAGTCCTGCCCCTGCCTGGCAGGTGAAAGAGCCTCAGAGGAACACTGGCCTTCATTCCTGCTCCGCCCCATTTTTTTCCCTTAAACAAGAACGCAGGCCTTTCTTCCATCCCTCTGAAAGCTGGTTCAGGCAGATAAAAATCTGGGCGGGACAATGGCCTGGCTGGCTTAGGCATCCAAACGGTGTGCAAGCTGAGGGGCTGCCCCTCACTCTGCTCCCTCCATCCAGCTCTAAACCAGCACCCCAGGAATTTAAAAACGCCACTCCCAGGTCCTCCCCACTTGTCCCAGTTCATAAAGGAAATAGGATCAGGGCAGGAAGGGACTTGTCTCAGGCCCTCAGCTGCCATCACCAAGACCAGGACTAGACCAAGTCACGCTCCCTGAAGCAGAAACGACCAGGACCATCTTCAATCTGACATCGTGCACTGACCTCCATCCCTGGCATCTGCCATCCCCTCTGCCTGGGGGGCTCTTCCCAGAATGCTCTGCCACCTGTCCTTCCTCATCCTCAGGTCTCTTTGGGTGCCAGCTGTTTATCACATTGAATCCTAACACCACCTCCTTAAGGTAGGTCCTGTTAGTATTCCTATGGTACAAACAAGGCTCAGAGAGGGTAAGTTTACCCAGGTCACCCAGTGAGGGATGGGCAGGGGCTGGATTCAAACCCTGGCAGGCTGACCCCAGGACCCCCTTTCCCACAGACCCACTGCTGCCTCCCAGACAGACCACACATACTGCTGTCCTGCCCTCCCCAGGCTGGCCCTGGTGTCCTCCTCTCTTTCTTATAACCTCCCCTTCTTTTATCTTTGTCTCCATCTTCGGGAAGGCAACCTCTACCTCAGTGACTGAGCAGGTGCCTCCCTCCTCTGGGCAGTCCCAATGGGACCAGGTTCCTTTCCTTCTGAGAGAGGCCCTGGCTGAGTCACCTCCTCCCAGCTCCTCGCACAGTGCACAGCACACAAAAGGGGCCAACTTAAATCCATCCGTTCCCAGAACACGAGCGTCTGCCACAGCATAGGCCACACAGTAGATGACGGACAACACTGTGGGGCTGAGAGGCCAACCAGGGAGACACCCAGTAGACAGAAACGTAGAGTATGTGAGGGAGATGTTGCCACCGTCATCAGAGTCCAGACGGGAATAAACAGAGAAGGCAGGAGATAGGTTTCAGGTGGGTGGGCAAGGAAGGCTGCAGGGAGGTGGCGTTTGAGGGACACTGAGGGATGGGACAGAGCAAGCCAGGGAGAGAGAGAGGAGAAGAACATCCAAGCAGAAGAGACGGCACAACAAAGGATCTGCTGGGAGACAAGCTTGGTGTCTTTGAGGAATAGGAACAAGGTCAGTGGTGGAATGGTCACAAGTAAAGGAAGGGGTGTGGGGTTGCGGGAAGGAGAGGCCAGGAGGGGGTAGGATCTGATGTGCACAGTTAAAGGACCCTCCAGCAGGAGCATGGATAGGAGGGGCAAGAGGGGTGAGGGGACGGCTGTGGTGTCCACTGAGAGATGACAGTGGCCGTGGTAATGGGGAAGCGAGTGAGTTGAGGATAGTATTTTGGAGGCAGAGTGAAAAGGACAGTCAGGAAAGGACTTCAGCACTTGTGCGGCAACCCTTTCCTTCCAGGGGAGGAGGAAGCCCGCACAGGGGCAGAGGCTGTGGCAGTGGCTCGGGGGCCTGGTCAGGTGGGAGTTGGACCCATGTCCCAGCCCGGGCTCCACCACCCTAGGGCCGGGTGCTGGATTCCCAGACTTGGCTCAGCTCCTCACGGCAGTAGACCTGGGGCAGGGGCTGGTGGATGGCAGGCAAGGTGGGCAAGATGACCCTTGGTGACTCCAGCACTGGCACTGGGCCTGGAGCTGGGTGCAGGGAGAGGACCTGGGATGCAGCTGCCCAGGATGGCCGTTTGCCATATATTCCAGATGCCACACAGCAGCCCTGGCAGCCTCAGGCTTGAGCCTCGTCACTGAGCGCCGGACCCGGGCCGGACGGTTCCAAACCCTTCAGCGTGAGGTGGCAGCTGCTCTAATGGGAACTAGGTGGCCCAGAGGGTCAGCCTGAGGGCTGCAGGGACTACAGTCTCCGGGTTTCCCTCTGCCTAGAGGCACTTCCCATTAATCACAGCCCTTATTTCCTACTAAGCACCGAACGAATGGAATTGCTGTCTGTCCTGGAGTCTGTGCTCCAGGAATCCAGAACCAGTCAAGTTGAGCTGCTTCCAACCCCCTTCCCATCCCTGCTGGTAAACTAAGGTGGAGAGGCCGGGGCTCACCTAGGATTTTAGAACAAGGGGAGGCAGAACATCCAGCTCGCCAGCCAGCCCCACGGGTGGGTAGGGTAGGAAGGACAGACCTCCATCTGGCAGGGAAGGCCCAGCCTGTGCCAGCCCTATCCTGCACGTCCACGCCAGTGATCACCTACTCACCATGGCTGTCTGCTGCTGCGTGGCTTGGGCTGCAAACCGGGCCACGTGGTTGACGATAGGAGAGAAATTGGTGGGACCGTAGAAGCGGATGTGGGGCAGGCAAGCCGAATATGCCTGGGCGATGCCGTCCACGCCTGCCTCGGGGAGAAGACTCTGGATCAGCCAGGTCCTCCCTGACCCTGCACCCACTCTCATCCCAATTGCTGCCCACCCCAAATGCCCCCTGCCGTGGCCAGTCTGGGCCCTGTGGTACTGGAAGCTCCAGAGGGCAGGGCCAGAGTGGTGTAAAAGTAAAGAGCCCTGAACGTGGAGTCTGACCTTAGTTCCAATTCCTGCCTTTACCACTTCTTAGCTGTGGGATCTGGGGGAAGTTATTTAAGCCTGTTTCCTTGTCTGTCAAGGAGACTAGTAATCTACACCCTCGGGAAGCTGGCAGGAGGGTGTCCAGCAGGCTCCTCCCAGAGAAGGGGCGGGCAGAACCTGCGGTGACACTTTGGGGTCACAGGGAGCCACCTGGAGGTCCATTCTGGACACGCTATGGCTTCTCAGGGTTGCTGGGGGAACTGAGATGCTTGCACAGCTCTGCAGACAGTAGGTGCTCTGTAAATAGCCACCATTACAAGGCTAAGAATACCCCCTGCTCTGCTGTCCTGTCCAGAAGGCCTCTGGCCAGAGATGAGGTTGACCAATCTGAACTTGGATAAAACATCTCGGCAGACCTACTTCAAACCAGACAGGCCCCAGCAGGAGGACAGGGCCACGCTTTCAGCCAACAGAGGCCCATGGCTTCTGAGTTACAGCATCATCCCCATCGTGGTGACTTGATGCATTTCCTTTCCAAGTACAAACCTGACCCAGCCTCAGGGATTCCCAGGGAAGGTAGATGCTACACCCAAGGCAAGTCCTAGGCTGAAAGCTCTCATGGTGTCAGGAACCACCCTCTTCCATACCCACCTGGGAGCCCCTTCTCTTTCACTGTTTCTTAACTGACTCTGGGAGGCTCAGAAGTCCTCTTAGGCCTGGGGCAGGGAGAGCACAGACACCACTTACGCTGCCTGCCCCTCCCTCTTGCCCAGCACCCCCGCCCAGGCCATGCTCAATCCTTAGGTGCCAAGGCCCCCTGTGGAAGGTGGGGAAACAGGGTGGGGCAGGACAAGAATGGGCCCTCCCAGTGAGGGCAGAAGGGAGGTGAGAGGCAGGTGTGTAATTTGCTGCTCCCACCTCCTCCTGGTCTACACAGGGCTTTCTGTCAGCGCTTCCCTTAATTCTCACCTGACCACCCAGTGAGGTGAGCTACCCTGGTATCACACCTCCTTGAGGCAGGTGAGGAGGCAGAGGCCCAGTGGGGTGCAGTGATCTCTCCGAGGTCACACAGCCAGAAAAGGGCAGCAGCTGGCCTTGAATCCAGGGCCACCTGACTCCAAATTCCAGCTTCTCCCCATCTGCCACACTGAGCAAGTGCAAGGGGAGGGGAGAGAAAAGAACAGAAACCAGTACTCCTCCCCCGCATCTGCCCAGGGAGATGGCCAGGCCTGGCGTAAACCCAGGGCAGATGCAGGTGGGCTTGACACTCACCTGAGCAGAAGGGGTTGGTGGGGTTAAAGTTGATGGCAAACTCATGGGAGACCTGAAATGCAGAGAAAATGATGAGCTGAAAGCCTCCTGGCCCAAACCTGGGCCCAGGCCCACCTGCTGCCAGGCAAGGCTCCCTCTGAGGGAACCTGGCTCTTTGTCACCCTGACCCCTGGTCAAGGCTACTGATACCCCTGCATCTGCTTTCACCTCCACTGCCGGGTCTGACCCGCAGAGAGGCCTAACCACCCTCACTTAGTAACAGAAGAAACAGAACCTTCCACACCACCCCAATCTCTTCTGGGGGGTCAGGGCTGTCTATGCCTCCTCGCCCCACTATAAGAGTCCCTAGGGACTTCCCTTGGGGTGCGGTGGTTGAGAATCCGCCTGCCAATGCAGGGGACTCAGGTTCAAGCCCTGGTCCGGGAAGATCCCACATTCCGCAGAGCAACTAAGCCCCTGAGCCTGCGCTCTAGAGCCCGAAAGCCACAACTACTGAGCCCACGTGCCACAGCTACTGAAGCCCGCGCGCCTAGAGCGCAACAAGAGAAGCCACTGCAATGAGAAGCATGCGCACTGCAACAAAGAGTAGTCCCCGTTCACCGCAACTAGAGAAAGCCCACAGGCAGCAACGAAGACCCAAAGCAGCCGGGGGGGAAAAGAAAGAGTCCTTGAGTAGGGTGGAGATGCATCTGAGGGTGGCAGGTTCAAGGAGCAGTTGGAGTGCTCCCTCGTCACCTGCTTTCACTGTGGTGGGGCTATAACTAGAGTTCCACTTCTTCGGGCCTTGAGTGCTTTCCCCCATCCTACTAATAAGCACGAGTGCTTGGAAGGGAGCCCACCTTATGCCAGCGAGCCAAACTGGGGCTTAGCTGACAACCCACTTAGAGCTGGACTGGGGGATCAGGAAGCATAATGGGGCCAGAAGGGCAGGGAATAGAGAGCCCTGTCCCAGTTCCTGCAGACCCAGCCCCTAGCCCGGGGGCATCATCAGAGGCTGACCCTGCACACTCCTGGATGCCGCTGGCCTACAGAGGGACTGATAACTAGACCCCATTCAGGACTGTGGGTCAGACTTCAGTGGCTGCAGAACCCAGGGCCTCAGGAGAGGCCAGAGCTCAGATGGTAGGACCACCCTCCCTCCCTCCCCTGCTGCCTCCGTCAAAACCCCCACTCGGCCCCTTCCCTGTGAACCGTGTGCCACAGTCTACGTTCAGGGCTTTGCTAGCATCCCCTCACTCCTTCCTTGCAACAGTCCAACGGACGAAGGCCTGGTATTACTCCCTTTTTCTGATGTAAAACCGAGACAGAATGGACCAGAATGTTCCCCCATTTACTGAAGGGGAGAGTTGGGACTAGAACTGAAATCAGGCTGCCTCCTGAGCTCACAATCCATAAACCCACTAACCCGAGAAGGTGGTCCTCTCCCGAGGAGTTTAAATGGGAGGGTCAAGAGATGTCCAGGGGGGAGGGACCCCCCCCCCCTCGGAGGCTGGAGGAGCGCTCCAGTCCAGGCGCAAATCCCAGGCAGACGCTTTACCTCCGAGACACTGCAGAGGGGTGCTGGGAGGCCCTACCAAGCCCGACATCCACATTTTACAAGTAAACTGACTGAGGCCCAGAGAGGGGAAGTCAGGTGCTGAGGCCACACAGAAGAACAGACCTGAGGCCCAGGTCCCTCAAGCCTGGTAAAGGGGTTGGGCTGCTGACCTCGGGGAGCCCTCCTGGGCCAAGACGGGAAGGACTCAGCAGAGGAATTCACCCCATCACTGCCCTGTGGAGAAGACCCCTACCTGTTCAGGGGAATGGGCTTTTCTGTTCTTTGCTCCCTCAGCCCTAAGTGCTTGACGTGGAGCCATTCCCCTGATGCCCCTCTTGGGCCCTGTTCCTGCCCAGGGGCCCTCTTCACCCTGTCCCCAGCCTGGGCTCCAGGTGTGGGGGCTGGAGGTCCTTGTTGCCATGGAAACTTCACGAGCCTCTATAGTGACTAAGAGGGGGGCTTGTACAGAGGGGGCTGAGAGGAAAATGGTTGCCAGGGAAACAGGCCTCCCTTGGGCCAACAACTTCCTGCAAAATCAGATTTTAGGAGATTTTACAGACCAAGGGGGAAAAGCCCCCTCCTGATAGGGATGGATTAATATTCTGTTTTCTCAGCCACCCAAATTCTTCCTTCTCCATTTTTTTTCCTCTATTAAGGGGAGAGTGGGGCCTGGTGGTCAAGTGGGTGGGGCTGTGGGAGGTTACCATCTACCCAGGATGCCTGCCAAGTCACCTACTCCACCCAGCAGCTCCACTTCACAGGTGGAAAAACTGAGGTTCAGAGGGGGCCAAGGAATGCCCAGGTCACACGAGTGAGCCACAGCAGAGCTGGGACCAGATCTGGGGGACAGGAGTTCACGTTGTCTGTAGCAGCCCAGCCCTCTCCCACACTTGCTGCCCTAGTTTGCCCGAGAAATGCCAGCAAACACGACAAGCTTCCTGGAGGCCACCCCAAGCTGATTAGGGGCCCCTGGGGACTGGCCAGCCACAGGTCTTTGCCCTGGGACTCCCTGCTGCCTTCTGACGATCAATGGTCCCGTTCACCCCCCCCGGCCAGGGCCAGCCCATGGTCTTGAGTTACTTAAGAGGCTGTTCCCTCTGGTCCTGGCAGGGCAGTAGATGGTGGCATGGAGGGAGTCGAAGGGATCTCAGAGTGACCATCCTCTCTGAGCCTCAGTTTTCCCATCTATAAAGTGGGGAGAGTCATAAACTGTGCTCCTCTCCACCCCAGACCTTGTGCAGGCCTGTCCTTCAGCCTGATCCCTCTCTTCATCTGACTAACTCTGGCTCATTTTGAAAGGCCAATGTTTCCTGAGTCCCTCAGCCACTACCCAGGTCAGGGGTCCTCTTGGGGCTCACCTGGACCAGGCCCAGGGAGGGACTGAGGTCCTGAGGGCAGGCAGCTGAGTGGCACGCTCCTTCTAGCTCCTTTCAACTTCCCACACTCAGAGAACCAACACCTCTGTCTGCTCAGGCCCCTGGGCCCCAAATTTACTGTCAACAATCACGTACTGCATGCCTAGAGCCAGACACAGCAAGAAGGAGACCAAGTGCCCTCCCTGAGACAATGAGCAAATCAACACATACAAAGTGACCGCAAAGTTCCGGGGCAGGGAGGAGGGGCCCCAGGTGCGCACGCTCAAGGTAGTCCTTCTAGAGGAAATGATCTCTCGGCTAAGCAGCAGCAATGGGAAGTCAGTGAAAGGGGGCAAAAGGCCAGGGCAAGACCACATGCAAAGACCCTGAGGTAGGAACGAACAGAAGAAGGTTCATGTGGCACGGCAAGGTGAGTTAGAATGAGAGGGAAGGTGAGGGGCCAGGTCTGGCCAGCTCCAGCAGCAGGGGGAGGTGGGATAGAGCATCTGCCCCTTCCAAGCCTCGTTCCAGCATCCCTCCTGGCACCACCGGGCACTCCAGCCTGGCCAAGCCCCAGCCTCCCCAGAATTGCCCTGTGACATTTCCAAGGAGGCTTTTGCGCAAGAAAACATCTCATTCAGCCAGAGTTCTTTGGAAGCTGGCTGGTGTCCTAGCAACGAGAGCGCTGGGCCTGGCTGCACCAGCCCGCCCTGCCCCCAGTGGCATCACTGTGTCTGCCCAGAGGCCCAGCTGTGGTCCCACAGGGTCCTGCCCCCTACCATACAATGGCCAGCAGGCCACAGAGCCACTCCCTGAAATTCTAGGTGAAAACTGCCCTCTCCGGAGAGGATGTGAGGGGAACGCTCACTCTGGAAACAGCATGTGGTACAGCAGGGCAGACAAGAGGGGCCGCTGGCTGAGACATACATGTAGATTTAGGAGTCCTCTATGCCCACAGCCCCAGGCTTCTCATCAGAAGGGTAGCACATTCTGAGAACAGACGTGGGAGTCCACCTGCCCAGATGGAATTCAGGCTCCCTGTTTTGAACGTAACCTTGGACAAGTCATTGAGCCTCTGTTTTTTCACCTGTAATGGACATTGCCCCTTCTCTCCATCCCTCCATCTCGCCCACCATCACCCCAGCCAGTCCCCACTCAGCAGCCAGAGTGAGCCTTCAAGAATACCAATAACACCCCATGTAGACCCACCCATTGCTTGCTGCATGGCTGGCTCCCCACCTCTCCAGTCACATCTCTCCCCATCCCACCCATCTTTCATGGAGAGTTCATCACGCCCACCTTCTTTCAGTTCTTCCAACCACCCTGCTCCCTCTGCCTCCCAGACTTTGCACAGGCTATTCTCTCTGCCCTGAACTCTACCTGCCACGTCACCACCTCAAGTCACTCTGCAAACTCCTACTCTCCTTTCCCCTCTTGGCTTAGACCTGACCTCCTCCAGGAAGCCTTCCTGATGCCCCCAGGCCAGGTTGGGGCCCTCCTCTAGGGACTGCTGCCCTGTTCAGCACTGATGCCACTGCCTATCTTTAGGGCTGCCAGACAGAATACAGGATGCCCAGTTAAATTTGAATTTCAGATAAATAATGGATAATTTTTTAGTTTAAGTATGTCCCAGGCAATATTTAGGACATAATTAAACAACTTGTTTATATGAAATTCAAACTTAACTGGGTATCCTGTATTTTTATTTGCTAAATCTAGCATCTTCCCCACCTGACTGGGGTACCAGGGGACAGATATCATAACTTATTCCTTGTTCTAGCCCCACTGCCTGCACGAGGTTCAGGCTGAGAAATGCGTGTGGGTTTGGGGTAAACGCAGAGAAGGCAGGGCAGCTGGGCCATAGCCCAACCTTTCCAAAGCAGATTCCAGAGAGGCCATACATGCAAATCCCATCTCAGCCAAAAGGAAAACAGTCTGGCTTCACTTACCTTCCAGTCTGGGGGTAACTGCGCCCCAAAGCCAAGAGCTGGAAACATCTTATCACTAATCAGAGAAAGGAGAAAAAAATACTGTGAGACAACCAGACAGGGGCCTCATCTACCCACGCTCACCCTCCCAACCCCCTACCCAGGGCTGGGCCCACTCTGCCTTGCATACCTCCACAGACAAAAAGAAAAAGCTCACCACCTCTAGAAAAATCTGTTTGAATGATCTATTGAGCCCAAACCCACTTCTGGGTATCTGGTGAATAAAAGGCTTGACACCTATGGCAGACATTGCTAATCAACCACAGCACTCCTAACCATGGGCCTGAGTACAGCTTCTAGATCCTTCTCAAACGGGGACCTTGGCAATCACTAAACCACAGTCATGATGCAAGTGAAATGTACTGGCTGTTTCTTGACGTCCCTTTTATGGCTGGGAAAAATTCTAAAATGAGAACACTGGCTTGGCGTTCAAGACCCTTCATCATCTAGCCCAAGAGCCTAGTCTCATCTTCTACCTGCCCTCCCTCATTCCCCACTCCCCCAGCCCTGGCCACTGACTGTTTCCCAAACACACAGGGCATCTTCACGCTCCAACTTCAATCCTATTACACCCCTTCTTGAACTACCTCTCCCAATCTGTTCCCTGTGGCAAACTCCTACTCATCCTCTAAGGCCCAATTCAAATGGCCCATTCTCTGTGGGTTTCCCTGAGACCCCAGGATGCCTCTCTCTTTGGTGCTCCCATAGCTCCTGTCTCACATGTAAACCGGTCTCTTGGAACCCCACTGATTTCTTCCCTATCTTCCTCCTCGAATGGGATCTCCCTGAGGGCAGGGACTGTATCTCATTTGTTCATTCATTCAACATGTATTTATTGAAGAATCCTCTGGCTGCTGTGTGGAGGACAAACTGTCAGGGACTAGGGCAGAAGCAGGAAGACCAGTGAGAAGGGTACTGAATTGCTCTGGGCAGGAGGTGATGGTGGCTCAAACAGGCTGGTAGCAGTAGGGGTGGGAGAAGAGGCTGGATTCAAGCATATTTTGAAAGGATTTCCTGAAGGAATGATGGGGGAGATGAGGGAAAGAAAGGAAGTGAAGGGTTTTCAGTGAGTGGTAGTGCCTCTCCCTGAGATGGGGAAGAGGGTAAGAGGGGTAGGGGTGGACCAAGTGTCCAGTAACACCTGAATGCCCATGAGAAGGCTCAGCAAAGGGGCTGGGTGGGTAGCTGGATACAAGGGTCTCTGGAGCAGCAACAGCAGGCTCCTCCACCCGACCATGCAGGTGGGGACTTCCACCTCCCCTGCTCTGCATGCCGTACCTCTCTTAATGTGGCCTGGGGTCACAGCCACCCCTTAGGCCCTGAGCCCCCTGGGAGTCAGAAGCTGCACCTTAGGCTGCCTCTCTCAAGGAGGCTGAAGTGCACACAGGATTCCTGAGCCTGCTCTTGTTCCTACCAAATTTGTGGGACCTGCTCCTTTCTCCCCTGCTCCCCGTGTGTCCTCCTGGTCATTCCACACTCTGACCTGGAAGTCCGAACAAGCACCATCTGTGACAATGACATCACAACCCTCACGTGATTTCTGGATCCTCCAAGGCCCTCTTGACTTTGCATCTGGCCCAGCCTGTTGGTGGCCACACCCTCTACACTGCTTTCCCTGACTCTCCACTGTCCCCACCCCACCCAAAGATCTCCAGGAAGCGTGGTCATGGGAAGAGGACCCACACATGCAGGCTGCTCCTCTGAAGTTCCCAACAGGAGTGAGACTGTTAGACCATTAGGTGGCGGGTACAGGAATCAAAATGTCTGGGTTCCAGTTCCTTGATCTGGGTGACTTTGGATAAATTCTCTATCTACATCCTAGGCCTGTTTTCCCCCAGCTCTAACAGTGGAGGTTGCAGCAATAGCAAACAAATTTCATTTTCTATCCTGACTCATTTTCTTACTCGGTGTACCGTGTGGAGAAGGATCTCAGTATGGATCTGGGCTCAGTAAGTCAGAGATCAGCAGTTGATTAGCAATGTCTGCCACAGGTATGCACAGGTAACTGCACGCATGTCCTATGCTACTCATTCCTAGGTTTGATGATCTCTGGGTCCCTTCTAGCTTTGAAAAGCTGAACTTCCCAGGATGGATGGAGCCCAAGCTGACTAGTCAGAGTCCCTCCCCAAGCTTACCTGTCATAGTCCTGAATGATCTGCCCAACAGCCCAGATGGCTGACAAATATTCATTGGTGCCCATGGGGTTGATATAGTGCAAAGAGGAAGGGTCGAGGGGATTTCCATTGGAGGCTGTGAAGTCTATTCCAACCTGCAGAGTGGGGGAAAAGGCCACCCAGTGTGGCCAGAGACTCCAGCTCCCTATCTCACCTCCAGGGAACAGACAGGCTGATGGGACACAGAAAGCCCACTTCATCTCCCAGCCCTGACCCACCCTTCCAAAAGATGGTCCAAAACCTGGAAACTGTCTGACTGTATTACTCCTCTGGCTCTAATGCCGTCTGTGGCTCCCTGTTGCCCAAGCATAAAGTCTATTGCCCAGATATGATACAAAGCCAACTAACAGCCCCAAATTCCTTTTCCCCCCTCACTGTCCCAACCCACACACTCATCTACTCCCATTTCGAGGCCTTTTTTCACTCTCTGCAGGGGAGGGGGGCTGTGGTGACCAGCGGGGTTACAGGTCAACAAGGCCAATCCCCTGCACCTCCTTATAGTCCTGCAGATGACTTCCAGCCCCCATGGGATCAGAAGCAGTGATAGAGAGCAGGGAGGCTAGGTGGGAGGTGGGCAGAGTATGGGACCCTGGCAGGAGTTCTCCTCTGGGCTTGAGGCCTCCCTTCGGGTGAGGAACGGGAGAAGTCTATGGGGCATACACTCCAGGCCACCGGCAGAGTGACAATTCATTCTTCCAATGAGCATATACTGAGCAGGTGCTATGTGCCGGGCACTGAGTGATACACCGAGGGTGGAGGGAAAAAAAAAAAAACAGTGGCCCCGCACTCAGGACACTCACAGTCATTAGTCGCTAGTGGGACAAGTGAAAAATACTTAAGAAAATTCAGAGTGGCGAGTGCCCTGAAGATAATAAAACAGGAGAAGTGACGAGGAACAGGAGGCATCGGGGGGAGGTGACCTCTGTGTCACAGCCTGCAGGATGGCAGGGCAGCAGCCAAGAGAAGGTTCTGGGGAAGAGCATTCCAGGCAGTGGGAACAGCAAATGCAAAGCCCCAAGACAGAGCAGAGCTTAGCGTGTTGGGGGAGGATCAGTGTGGACGGAGCTGAGTGAGCAAGGATGAGGGCATAGCAGATGAGGCAGGAAGGGAAGTGGGGAGGAATCTGGCTTTTTTTCCTTCTGAGGAAGTGTAACTAGTGACATTCTGAGGGCTGGGCAGCCAGGCCCTGACCTGCAGCTAAGCCCTGACTCAGGCCCATCCACCTATTCCCTCTCCTCTGGGCCAGACACGCCCCTTGCCCTGGGGAGGATCCTTCCTGAAGTTTATCCCAAGTCCCTCCTGCTGCAATCATGGCCCAAGCACTTAGGGAGGATCCTCACTGGGGTGGGGTGGGATGGGGGAGAGCCTTACAGTGAACATGAGCTGGCAGCCTCCCAGGATGTAGTCCAGGAAGGAGTAGTCCCGGTTTATCTGGAAGGAATCAGAGGGGTGAGTGGGTCCCTGCCCTGTACCTGAGGGCTCGCCTTCACTTGGCCACACTCCACAGATGACCTTTGGGGAGTTGTTGCTCTGTGCCCTGACAGGGGTCAAGGAGGCGGAAAAAGGCAGATGGACCTGATCTGATTACAACAAAACCCAAATCCCTCTATGACAAAGCACTCAGAGCAATGGTTACCAATAGGTGGGACACACACACACACACACACACACACACACACACACACACACACACACAC